CTATTTACACAAAAGGCCTAGTTCTCTCAAATATTGTTCACAAATTGTTCACTTCTCCTTTGCCGAGATAATCAGTCCACCTCACAGGTGTGGCATATCAAGATGCTGATTAGATAGCATGATTATTGCACAGGTGTGCCTTAGGCTGGCCACAATAAAAGGCCACTCTAATCAGTATCTTGATATGTCACACCTGTGAGGTGGATGGATTGTCTCGGCAAAGGAGAAGTGCTCACTAACACAGATTTAGACAGATTTGTGAACAATATTTGAGAGAAATAGGCCTTTTGTGTACATAGAAAAAGTCAAAAGTCTTTGAGTTCAGCTCATGAAAAATGGGGGCAAAAACAAAAGTGTTGCGTTTATAATTTTGTATTTTGTTATACAGTAAGAACATGAACAAAGAAACAAATTAAAACAAACTGACAAATACAATAAAACAAAGATACAACTGAAATATTTTTCCATGAAGGTCTACTAACATTACTGTTCAGGTAAGTAATATAGCCTACAAAAGAAATCTACTAAAGTAATCAAATGTAAATGAACACTGCATAGTTTTCACTGTATGAATTGATAGATCAATGCTTATTAAAGCTCAAACGTTATTCAGATTAAGAGCTGTGAGTCATTTTCTCTTTGCATTTTGATGGCCATTGTGGATCATGGTGGCGGTGGGGTTATGGTATGGGCAGGCGTATGTTATGGACAACGAACACAGGTGACACAGGTGCATGGCATTTTGAATGCACAGAGATACCGTGACGAGATCCTGAGGCCCATTGTTGTGCCATTCATCCACGACCATCACCTCATGTTGCAGCATGATAATGCACGGCCCCATGTTGCAAGGATCTGTACACAATTCCTGGAAGCTGAAAACATCCCAGTTCTTGCATGGCCAGCATACTCACCGGACATGTCACCCATTGGAAGTAACCTGAGGATCCTATGGCGAAGTGCCCGCTTATATAGCCAGATGTCCCGCCCAAATTGGCGGGCTCTGGCGGGCTGTGTCTTTAATAATACACTGCACGAACCAATGGCCGTGCAGTTACACTGCGTGATTGAAAAGGCTTCAGTATTCTAAGAAAAAGAAGTTTTCCCCAAAGTATCTTAGCAGATGCAGTACGAGTGAAGTATCAATAGGGAACTAATGTTGTTTTTGCTGCTGGTCTGCTGTCATCTGCTGGTGTTTGCACTGACATTTTTATGAATGATGATTGTGAGTGATATTTTACTTGTTAAACTTCGATGATGATTGAATATAACCATGCAAAGAATGTAAATGACTTAATTTTGTAAGACACACTTTGACTTTGAAACATCCCCGAATTTAAGATATCTTAAAATGATAATTAAGTTATTGAATGGTTTGGTTTCGGTTTTAACCTAATCAAGATCTTCTACGCATTGAGCTACTATATTTCTCTAATATTTTGAATGAATAACGCAGCAACTGCACATCTCGTGGGCTAGACTAACAAAACATTAAAATGCAACAACGTCGCTTACATCATTATCTCCGCATCTCGCGCGCCACTGATTACACTCCCTGATGGACACCTAACATTCTGCAAATGTTTATTTTAAATTAGACTAATATTCATTCTTTATTCACAATCTCCTCATCACAGGCAGGCACAGCACTCAATTCAGCATGTGTTCGTGTTTGTGTGTGCTGTCTGCGTCACTCATAGCATGTGCCTATATTGTGCGCTATATCGAACATTTTTTATATCGATATCGAAGAAGGTGTACTGTCGATAAATATTGATACCGTTTTATCGCCCAGGCCTAATTATGCTACAAAATATTATGCAGCACAACTGTATTTAACCTAGATAATAAGAAGAAATGTTTCTTGAACAACAAATCAGCATATCAGAATGATTTCTGAAGGATCATGTGACACTGAAGACTGGAGTAATGATGCTGAAAATTCTGCGTTGTCATCAGAAGAATAAATTACATTTTATAAAATAGAAATGTTATTTTAAATTGTAATAGTATTTCACAATATTACTGTTTTTACTGTATTTGTGATCAAATAAATGCAGCCTTGGTCAGCAGAAAAGACTTCTATCAAAACCATAAAAAAGATCAACCTCACACTTTTTAACTGTAGTGTGTATATTTACATTTATAATCATCATCAGCCCAGATTTCCTAATCATGGCAGCCATGTTTGTTTGTATTGTTGCCATTGTTTCTGTATCCTCTCTTTCTGTTTGGATCCTCTGGGGAATTGGGAAAACAATATATTCCTCTCAACCTCTCTCAGTCCCTGCCCCCACCAGCCCATCCTAATCATATTAAAACGTGAAGAGACAGTCTAGCGTGAAGAAATGTGCATCCCCGAGCACACTTGTTCTGTCACTCTCATCGGGTTTATTGGGGCAGAATGAAAGATTGCTCTGCAGATGAGACCCCATCCTTCAAGCACTTTGAGACAGTGAATTGGGGCAGTAGGACAGAAGGTGTGGTCACTGTTACCATCACGCTTGAGGCCAGTTCTGCTGTGATCATACATATTTTAAGACTTGCCAGCCAATAGGATTCGAGAAGAGTGTTACCCACAAAATAGATGGAAACCAAGAGGAAGGGATCCAAATGTTTTTGTCCTCATTAGTTCATTTCTTTAAGCTGATTAATCCAAATGTGGAGATCCTCCTCCAGTAAAGACAAAAATATGTGGTTTTACCAATGTACAGTGATGATATCAGATCTTTGATTAACATATTAGGGCTGGGTAAAAAATATCGATATCTCGATATTAATCGCTTCTCATTTTTACGGTACGATATCGATTCTTAAATCCCAAGAATCGATTAGTCTAGCCTGTTTTCAGTTAACGGAAGGAACGTTGAAGCACACCTCCCATCCAGTATATCGCAAAAAGCATTGTGCTTTGGTACTTTTAATATGAAACAAAGTCTCAGATTTCAAATTCTGTCCATTGTATTGCAGTATTCATAATATAATGGCTTGTAAACAATGTCACGTAGAGGGGCATTTTGCTAAATATATGCACCATATAACATATTCATTATACATTTTACTGTTCTTCAATAT